AAATGGGCAAATCCTGCCTTTAGGAGCACTGGTGTAGATCTCTGGTGTCTGTCCCTGACTGCCTCAAAGCCCATTTCTTCCACAAAGCTTCAGCAGAATCATAAAGGTGTCTGAATTTATATCAGAAGAAGGTAAGAAGGTGTCCCTGCCCATGGCAGAGGGTTGGACTAGATATATTCTTTAAGGTCCCTTCCAAACCAAACCATTCTGATTCCATGATTAAATTTAGTCAAATACATCAAAATATTGTATAAGATGAAGGAGGTCTAAAGGGATTGTGTGAACTGGAGAAATGAATTCCAGTGCTTTTCTGCCTCTGTGATCTCTGTATGTACTTGAAAACCAGGGGCAAAAAGGGAAGAAGAAAAAAAAGAGCCTGGGCAAAATATCAAAGAAAAGAGGGCCAGTTTTGGAAATAAGATGTAGAAACATTAGAGGAATTGTTGAATAAAAGAATCTCATGTTTCAATCCACACAGCTATTGTCAGCTTTCCTCATGGGTCTGGGCCTGCCAGCACTGGCTGATCTTTGCCTTTCATAAAACTTGTGTAGGCTCTGGATGCCTTCACTCATCCAGCACAGCCTCAGCAGAGAGAGCTCTGTTTGAAGAGGTTTTAGACTCACTCAGAAAAACCTGCATGGCCTGATTGAAGGCACTCTGTCCATCTCTCTTCAAACAGCCTGTTCCTGGTCAAATGTTTGCTGGGCTGGAGTGATGCAGCCCTTACTGCAAGCCCTGATGGAATTCCTGCTGATTCAGAGGCAGAGGAGTTAACCCTTTCAAGTTCTGGGTCAAAGGAGCACTGAGGTTTGAGCCAGCTACTTCAATACCATATCAGGGTTTTTATGTGGCCACCAATACTCAGAATGTCAGGCTTGAGCTGAGCTTTAGGCCAGTGAGGACAGAGAGAATAGCCTGGGAGAAGCAGGATTTAAAAGATGGCAAAGAGTCAGGGGAAGCTGTAGAGATAAAAGTGAAGTGCATGGAAGCCAACGATGTGGGATAAAAGGCTTATTTCCCACTGCAGTCAAGGTGGGAGGGGGAAGGCTGAGGTCTGTGTGAAAGTTCCCTGCCTCTGGAAATAAGTCATGCCAAGAATATTCATGGCTGACACACACAACATCAGATTTTCTCACTGGCTGAATCTCAGTGCAGAGATGGGTCCTGTGCCAGTCTCCACCTGTGAACCCCCAGCTCACCTCTGCTGTGTTGCCTGGAGTTCCCAGGCACTATGTCCATTCTTCTCTCCAGAAATTATGTCCAGGTAGCAAAAGAGCTGACCCAGACAAGCCTCAGGCCAACCAGGTTTAATACCACATACACTAAAAAAGCTCCAAGAACCAGTAACCACTGGTTGACATGGACAATAATTTCTACAGGAGGACTTCCGTAACATTCAGCTCTTAGTTAGAAGCTCAATATCCAAATTCATTTAAAGAACTTAATTAAAATTATTGTTCTGTCCTAACCCCAAAACTGATTCACGCTTTGTGCCCTTAGTAAATCCTTTCCACGGATTGCTGTGTCTGCATAGAATCACAGAACGGTTTGGCTTAGAAGGGACCTTAAAGACAAGAATTCGAGCTAACACAGATGTGGCTTTTGGGTGTGCTGAGCACCCACAGCCCCTGCTAATGTCAAGAGAAATGTCACAAATGTTGCAAAAGCCCCATTAAAAATGAATTCGCTGTCACCTCCCATTTCCTGGCACTGTACACTCCTGATTGGGATTTGTTTCAAGTGCTTTGTGCAGACTGGGCTGGCTGATCAATAAAGCACAGGCAAGGGAAGCAGCTTGTCTCTGTGTGACATCCATTCCCCTCCCCTGCAGGTGACAGGAGAGCTGCTCCAGCACAGAGGTGACCCCTGTGCCTGGCTCTTCTTCACACCCTCCTGAATTGCAAAGAGGTGTAAACCCCCAAAATTACACCCTCAGCTAATTTCAAAGCCTATGTACACAACTGGATACACAAGGATTAAGAAGTGCATTGCAGGGCAGGTTTGCTTCCTTTGGTCCTTACACAGTTCAGTGCAGCTGTCAGAATAAATGACTTCTTCAGAGGAGAGAAGGAAAAAACACATTTGGTTAATCAGCTCAATACTACAGCAGCTCCCAAAGATTAAATATGCACTGCACAAACCAGCAACCCAGGAAAGGCCTTTTTATGTTAACAATTCACTTGCAAAGAATAAGATTTTGAGTAAAATACCTGCTTCTGTTCTTCAGCACAGAAACCTGAGCTCCCATGGCACCTGTAGCTCACTTGTGCCTCTTACTGTTGAATTGCTGTTATTATTCATAGAATCACAGAATGAGCAAACTGCCTGTGCTGCAGCATCCTGGGTTCTGTCCTGCCCAAACTGCCCCAAACTGCCCCAAACTGCCCCAAACTGCCAGATCAGGTCTTGCCTTCTGTGCAGCACAGCCTGACCCTCACCCCCAGACTCACCTCAGCTGCTGCCACCTCGCTGAGTGGCTGAAAATCACCTTGCTCCTGAAAATAATTGCCAATTTTATCACAAGGGGCAGGGACGCTGGGAACAGAAGTGCTGAGATTTCACTGATCTGAGTTTTCTTGCTTCGTGTTTAGTATTGCTGTATGTTCACCTAAAACAAACAGCCCAGCTATGCTGCTTTTGTTGGAATCGCTAATTCTTTTCCATAGAAGGTAAAAATTCCATTCCTGGGGAGCTTTCTGCTCCCTTTTGTTTTGAAACCACGGGTCTAGGAGCTGGGGGCCACGGCTGGGAAGAAAGGGCTGCCAGCAGTGTGTCATTCCTGAGGGAGGAGGAGGAGGATTTTCAAAGGGAATGGCATTTGCCTGGTGACAGGATACAAAAAGGCAGGGAGAGAATCCAGGCTCTGTTCCCTGTTCTGCCAAATGACTTTTACTGGACCATAGACAAGTATTTGCTTGGGACACATTTTTGAGGAAATCAAGTGTCTGAAGAGACACAGAAGTCCACAAGAGCATTTAGACACCTGCCACCTGCTAGTTTTTCTTTGAATTCCTGCATGGTTTTTGGAAAGCCATCAGGGTGTCAGTCTCTTGTATGGTGCCTGCACCTTTCAAGTCTAAGTAGTTTTTGAGAGCTCTGAATTTTTCAGAGGTTTCAAATCTCTCCCGTTCAAAACTAGATTTTCAGTGATGAGGGAAGGTGTTGAAAGCAAAGTGATTTGAATGCTAAGGCTCAGGGGTGTGGAGTGCTTTTAAACCCAGTCTCCAATTTTCAGAGGAGCTAAGTGTCTAGTTCTGATTTTAGTAGGATTGTGAATGTTCTGCTCTTTTGAAATCCAGTCTCTCAATGCTGCCTGCCTTGGTCCTTGCTCTGAGTGAAGGGAAGCAGCTCTGAGGTCTGGGCTGGATATTTCTGCTTACCAAGCTCTGTTGTACCCATACTTGCAGAGAGGAGCTTTTCAACCCATTCATGAGGAAAGAATGGACAGGAAAAGTGGGCAGAGCTGTGCAGGGGCCAGGGAGCGACCCGAGGCCATCAGCTGTGGCCATCGGGGGACCTGTCCCCTCTGTGGGGACAGCTGAGCCAAAAGGGCCAGAAAGTTTGCCAAAAATCAGCAGAGCTGACTGGCCAAACCGATGATCCGCAGGGCGTTGTTTGCTGCTGTGCTCGGGGTGGCTGAGGAGAGGGGCAGGAGGGCTCTGGAAAGAAAAATCAGCATTTGGGGTTTCTGGGGAGAGGGGCAGGAGGGCTCTGGAAAGAAAAATCAGCATTGGGGTTTCTGAGGAGAGGGGCAGGAGGGCTCTGGAAAGAAAATCACCATTTGGGGTTTCTGGGGAGAAGGGCAGGAGGGCTCTGGAAAGAAAAATCAGCATTTGGGGTTTCTGGGGAGAGGGGCAGGAGGGCTCTGGAAAGAAAAATCAGCATTTGGGGTTTCTGGGGAGAAGGGCAGGAGGGCTCTGGAAAGGCCAGGCCTGCAGAAAATCAGCATTTGGGGTTTCTGAGGGGTTTTTAACCAGTCCCTCCCTCGGCTGTGCTGCAGGTACAACACAGACATGCTGATGGCAGCACTCCTGCTCTGTCTGCTCCTGGTGCCCCTCAGCCACTGCCACGAGGTGCCCTGGACATACACAGGTAAAAACGGGGCTGCTTTGGGGCTGCTGCTGCTGGACAGGCTCCCTTCCCTCTGTGCTGCAGGAGCAGCCTGGCTGGCCCTCAGTGAGAGATCACAGAGCAGCTGATTTATTCACTGATGCCTTCGTGGCTTGAAAGTGATTATCCTCAATGTCACCTCTCTTTACTCCTTTGTGTGGTTAGGACACATTGTCAGGGTTGGCAGCACAACCAGGTTCAAACAATGGGGGAAATCTTTAGAATGTGCTAGAAGAAAAGCTGCCCTTTGGATGATCCTGCAAGGAACAGCTTTAAATACTGTCTGCTTCTTATTTTACTGTCATATCCCAGGCAGTACAGAGCACTAAGAAGTACTTATTTAGGTATTTATAATTTTTTGGTGAAATTTTATCTAAATTTCACTTGTGTCAGGGGGCTGTTTGCAGAGCTCACGGAAGTGTTAATCCTTTTATGATCTTCAGTGGGCTAAGTTACAACAAAGGATATTGCTGAAGATTTGCAATATTGCAATTGCTCTGTCCCTAGTTAAAAATAGCTAATTGCTGTCAGTTCCTGATCCCAAGCTGAGCCTTTCTGCCTATTGCCCTGATCCTATTCACTCGTGCTGGTTAAGAAGCCAATTCCACACCTCTGGCAGCTGGGACCCATTTAAATCCCCATTTCCAAGTGAACACTGCTCCTCTTTTGGTGGGGGTTCAGCCTCCAGCACTCACCGAGCCTGCTGCAATGCAGGTTCCTTCCTTTGCAGCACAGCTGTCCTGCAGACACAATAAAGTGCATTTTCACTCTGGGGAGGGCACAGCAACCTGTTATGGCTGCAGCTCCGATAATTAGATTGGTATTTCCAGGGGAGTGCTCTGGTCACAGCACATCCCTGTCACCGTCCTTGCCCCCCTCCAGGAGAAGGAGAGCTGGATGAAGAGCACTGGGGACAGCACTTCCCAGACTGTGCTGGCCAGCAGCAATCCCCCATTGACATCCAGAGGAGGAAGGTGAGGTACAACCCGCTGCTGCAGCTGGAGCTGGGTGGCTACGAGGGGCCCTTGCAGGGCCAGCTCAGGATGACCAACAACGGCCACTCCGGTAAGGCTCAGGCCACTGTGGGAGCAGATCTTTTGTTTCAGCTGTGCAAATGCATTCCCAGACCATGCCCTTGGTTTGAACTCACCTTTCTTTGCCATCTCACTTCATTCTGCTCCCTTAGGTTTGCTGTTTTCCTCAGTCACCCAGGAAAGCTCTCCAGAAATGCATAAATAAATCAGACAAATAAAAGGCAGTTAGGCTTCTGCAAGGTATTTTCATGGAAAGGGGATCAAATGCAGCTGCAGAATTCCAGATTGATCATTTCCTTTAATGTGCTGCAAGACAACAGGAGTGCAGCAGTGATGGTATTTGGGGCACGCTGACTCCTCTGCATTCAGAAAATGCATCTTTTGGCCTGTGCAGGAATGAGAAGTGACAGGAGTGGAACCTTTGCATCCCAGGTTTGGTCACAAGCCAGAGGATTGATATTTTGGAGCTCAGGAAAGGGAACTGAAGCACAGCACATGTTAAAAGCCTGGCCTTTGGCTACACCGTTTTGGGGCAATGCTTATAATTTAGGAGATCCCAGATTCCCCTGCTGCAGTCTGTAATTCATTGGCTAAATAATTCATCAGCTGGCACTGTTGGGATAACGCCTTTGGACTACAGATGAGCAATGAGAGAATTTCCTGATGGCTGCAGGGGAGAGAGGATGAGTGGTTTGAGAGTGTGGAGGGAACATAGAGCAGTCGGCTCCTGAGTCTGCACAGCAGCTCTTTCTTCCTGCCTGCAACAAAGAGAGAAATCCGGAGTGAGGGCAGCGGAGTGCTGGGGCACCAAGTGCCAGCAGAGGAAGACTGCTGTGACTGTTCCTGAAAATGGTACCTCCTTTTGTGTGGCCCACACAAGCCCAGCGTTCAGCCCGGAGCTCGCTGTCAGCACTACTGCCCTGCCTGCCTAGACATTAATTCTTGCAGGTTTAGCTTTTTTGACTGCATGTGTGTATTTGCCCATTCTTTTGTTAACTTCCCAACAATGATTTTCTGATGCGGGGCAGTTTCCTAAAGCTCAAAGACAAACGCCTGTCCCTATTCACAGCTCCTGTGAGTCAGGCTGGGCTTTTCTACTGGCTTCAGTGGGATGGGACAGGGCAGCAGAATCTCTCAGGGAGAGCACTCAGCAGATCTGAAAGGGACACAGAGGGATTTATCAGCAGGACCTGTCCTTACAGGCTTCAGAACCAAACCCCAAATGTCTCACCAAGGAAACCAGGTTCATTTTTTCTGTAGGTCTGTTAGCACCAGGCTAAATCCCACCTGAAAATGCCTGTTTGCTGTGGTGTGAGTGCTCACACAGACAGCCTGGGGTTAACAAAGCCTTTTGTATTTGCACCATTCTTTTTGTTTTAAAGAGGGTTGCTCCTCCAGCTGGTAGTGAGGACAGGGAAAATGAAAACATCATCCATGTGTGCATCCTCCCCCAGAAGCAGATTTAACTGGGGCCTCCAGAGTCCCCATTAACTCCCCAGGGGCCAGAGCTGGGCAGCCAGGCTGGCTGTCCCTGCAGGCAGGATGGCCAGGGGCACTCCAGAGCAGAGTGTGGGGAAGCCTCAGCTGCACTGCCCTGTCAGCCCAGCTGATTCCCCATCCTGCTCAGCCAGGGCAGAGCAGGAGGGGGGCACAGCCAGCCTGGAGCACTCACACTCCCCACTCAGGCTCCTCTGAAAGCAGAAGCAAACCAGGCTGCTCCCTGCCTTGTGCTTGCAGCAAATATTTGCTTAGAATATCTTAGAGGAGCCTTAAGCTGGTTACAAGCTCACAACACAATTCCCTGGCTGTGTTTTGTAGAAAGTAGAAACCCTGGTGAGGTACTTGAAGTAAATAACCCTCATTATGGAAGGCAGTCAGCAGGGAACTTATGAAAAAGGTAGATTATGTTATCCCTCCCACTCTAGAGCCTTCGGGATGTTAGAAGGAAACATGCTTTCGTCTTGTCTGTCTATAAACAGTTCACAAACAAAAGAAACTCCTCAGAAACCCAAACTATGACTAATTAATAATATGTTTGCTGCATTTTGCAAGGATAGTTGCTAGTTTTTATAACATGCTGGGGGCTTTCATTTAGATGAGGCAATTCTCCACTTTCACTCCTAGATTTATTAACATAATCTATGATTTCTGGCAGTGAATTAGCAGGAAGACAAAGGGTTTGTGACTTCTCCTTGGCAAGGAGAAGAAAAGAGGTTTGTCTCCACAAATCCTGCAGCAGTCACACAGCCTTTTCAAACCTACAGAGCGTTCCCAGAATGGCTGGGCCTCACTGGGAGCTGTGATAACAGATGAGGCCACTCTGTGTTCATTCCTATCCCGCTTTTCTGCCTCGGAAAGGAAGTGGCTGACAGACCTGTGCCAGGTGTGCTGTGCTGGTGAGAGTGAGCATTAGAGCTTCCATTAGTGCCCACTGCCAAAGCCAGAGCTCAGGGGGAGAAGGGGTCTGCAGGCACAGCCCAGTCCTGCTTGTGCCTGCTGTGCTGCACCAGCCTGAGCCCAGGAAAGGTTCCCAGCACCCCCAGCTTTAAAGTTCACTGCCTTCCCTCCCACACCGGGCTGGTGACCGTGCTGCTCCTTCCAGGAGCTGCCACCAGCCCTGTGGGAGCCACCACGGGGTGGTGGCTGCACCCCCTGCTCCTCCAGCCCTGTCCTTTTTCAGTTCAGATCGATTTGCCACCCACCATGAACATCTCCAGAGGGCTCCCAGGTGTCTACACAGCTGTCCAGATGCACCTGCACTGGGGCGGGCTGGACCTGGAGAGCAGCGGCTCGGAGCACACCATCGACGGGATGCGCTACTTCGCCGAGGTTCGTGTGGCCAGGGCGGCTCTGGGCTCTCCCTGGGAAAGGGGGGCTGCACCCACAGGGCCTGCAGAGAGGCAGGGGGGAAAGCAGGGCAGTGGCAGGGCTGAGCCCGACGCTGCTGGCACAGAAGGCTCCAAGGAAAGCCATGGGAAGGGCACTCGTGTCCTTCTGAGGTGGAGCTGTTCCCACAGTCACCACGAAGCTGTCAAACCAGAGGTCCCTGTGGCTGCTGTGGGGCACAAACAGCACAAACTGGGCAGGTGACTGTCCCTTCAGTGTGTCCCTTGCTAAATGACCCCGACTCTCTCCTGGCAGCTGCACATTGTCCACTACGACTCTGCCAACTACTCCAGCTTTGAGGAAGCCAAGGACAAGCCCCAGGGGCTGGCTGTGCTGGCCTTCCTGTACACGGTAGGTGGGAGCCAGGCTGGGGCAGGGGGCCCTGCCTGAGCTAAAACCTCCCTCAGACACGAGCAGCCCGGGCCAGGCTCGTACAGCTGCCCCAGAGATGGGGTCTGGCACCTCTGTAGGCAGCTCTGCTGCTTCCCCTGGGCCATCTTCACACAACACCAGCCAATGCCCCTTGGGAGCCCCAGAAAACTGCCCCATAAGTAGTATTTTATCTATATCCATATCTATATATCTATATCTATATCCCATATATAAGAATATCAGGTGGGGCTTCCCTGCTGTGCCTCCAAGCTTTGCTCTGCTTTGCCAGTGGCACCTCTTGATTCAGTGTGGATTTAAAAGCAGTAAAAAAGAATCCTGTTCACTATCCTGCCCAAGCTGTGCAGACCTGACCATTGTCCAGCCCATCAGGAGATCTGTGGTGCATTTGTTGTCTTTGTCTCCCAGCTGATGAATTAAACCCCACAGCTGCTCAGCAGTGAGCAGGGCAGGCAGGTCACACCTTTTGATCAAGTGTCTGTGCTGTGTTTAGGACGGGCACTTTGAGAACACCTACTACAGCGAGTTCATTTCCAAACTGGCAAGGATCAGGTTTGCAGGTAAGACCTGGGAATGCCTTTCTCAGTCCCTGACGTGCTCCCAGCCTGTGTGCACACTCTGGCTCTGGGAACAGACATTTTCCTGCGCTGTGCTGGCAGAGCATCCTCAGCCCTGCACAGCTCCAGCCCAGCGCTGTGGGGAAGGTGCTCAGGGCAGCAATAAATGCACTCCTGGCAGTCTGTGCAGCACCAAATATCAGCTTCCAGCAGCCTGCACACCCCCTGATGCCTCCTGGAGCACCCCAGGGGCTGGCAGAGCGCTGAGAGCAGCTGCCCAGCACCCCCAGGACCCAGACATGTCTGACTGACAAACCACAGACCCAGAAAGGGCCTTTTGTGCCTCTCTATCTCCTCCCAGTTCCACCAAAGGTCTGATGAGCCACTGCTGTGGGCAGAGGGATTTGCTGACCCCAGCTCCAAGAGCGTTTCCACCTCTCTCTTCCCTCCCCATTAACTTCTGGTACCATCTCTGCTTCCTTTGGAGGTCAGTCAACCACGCTCAGCTCTCTGGACATCCAAGCCATGCTGCCAGAAAACCTCTCCCACTTCTACAGGTACCAGGGCTCCCTGACCACCCCCCCATGCTCCGAGAGCGTGATCTGGACCATCTTCCACTCCCCAATTGTCCTGTCACACACTCAGGTCAGTGCTGCCTCTCCCCAGCTCCTCTTCCCTCTGAACGTTTCCCTTGCTGTCCTCCAGGGATCTTGGGAACAGAGGAGCTCTTAGAGCACCTCTCCTACAGAGCTTTTGTGGTGACTGATAACAAAACTGCTCAGCTAAGCTCAGCCACCCTGAAGCACTACAAAAAAAGGAAGAGACCAGTGAGAATTAACAAGGCAAAAACTACTGCAAGAGAGTCCCCTGGAAAAAAAAAAAGGCAAAAAAACCCACCAAAAAAGGACCATTCATAACATTAAAATACTTACAGAATAATTGCCGGATTTTAGAAGGTATTTCAGGGTTTTTCTGTGTCTAGACTCACACTGGAAGTAATGCTTTTAAGTTAATAAATAATAAAGAAGCATCAGAAAACATTTTCTTCCAGGAGAAGAAAAAGATAAAACTGAGACCACAGTAGTGGGGGATCACAGTGTGTTCTCTTTGAAAAAGAAATACTCCTTTTGTCTGGGGAAGGCCAGAAGGCACTTGTGAGAAAGGCAGAGAATAGCAGCAAAATCTCCATCCATGCTACCATCAGGCAGGTGCTCGAACTCCTCCAGGCAAAATGCCTTCATCATGAATTAGCTGCAAAGAGCCCTCAGTCCTGCTCCTTCCCCAGCTGCTCAGCGAGAGACCCTGAGGATTCCTCCTGATCCTCAGGCCAGTCCCGAGCTGCAGGATGTGCACTGCGGGTCTGGGCAGAGCTGCTGTCCCTGTGCCCTGTGTGATGTCCCTGTGATGTCCCTGCACTGTTCTGCACTGCAGCTCTAGCCAGAGCTGCTGTCCCTGTGCCCTGTGTGATGTCCCTGTGATGTCCCTGCACTGTTCTGCACTGCAGCTCCAGCCAGAGCTGCTGTCCCTGTGCCCTCTGTGATGTCCCCATGCCCTGTGTGATGTCCCTGTGATGTCCCTGCACTGTTCTGCACTGCAGGTCTGGCCAGAGCTGCTGTCCCTGTGCCCTGTGTGATGTCCCTGTGCCCTGTGTAATGTCCCTGTGATGTCCCTGCACTGTTCTGCACTGCAGGTCTGGCCAGAGCTGCTGTCCCCATGCCCTGAGCCATGTCCCCATGCCCTGTGCGATGTCCCCGTGAGCGATGTCCTCATGCCCTGAGCAATGTCCCCATGCCCTGTGCGATGTCCCCGTGAGCGATGTCCTCATGCCCTGAGCAATGTCCCCGTGCCCTGAGCAATGTCCCCGTGCCCTGAGCGATGTCCCCGTGCCCTGAGCGATGTCCCCATGCTGCTGTGCGATGTCCCCGTGCCCTGTGCAATGTCCCCATGCCCTGTGCAATGTCCCCGTGCCCTGAGCCATGTCCCTGTGCCCTGAGCCATGTCCCCGTGCCCTGAGCGATGTCCCCGTGCCCTGAGCCATGTCCCCATGCCCTGAGCCATGTCCCCATGCCCTGTGCCCTGTGTTTGTCCCGGTGCCAGGTGCAGCTCCTGGAGAACACCCTGCTGGACTGGCACAACCGCACCCTGCGCAACGACTACCGGCACGCGCAGCCGCTGCGGGGCCGCGTGGTGGAGGCCTCCTTCCGAGCCCAGCGGGGCCAGGGTAGGGCCAGGGGACCCGGGGGGGACAAACACCCCAGGGAAGGTGTGACACTGCCAGTCACACGTGTGGGAACAGCTCTGCTGGGCAGCCACGCTGAGGAGAGGAGCTGCATTTTGAAACACGGCTTTTGCTGCAGCTAGAAAACGTAGCGTGTGCAGGTCCCAGCCCTCTGTAAATTCAGCTGTCTGATTGCTCCAGCACAGTGTCATCCAGAGGAACTCACCCTCAGGCTGGATCAAATCCAGATGCAGCTCCAGGACATGAAGACAGAGTTGCTGAATGGACTGAGCCACACAGGTAAGAAACACAGGTTGAGTCCAGCTCACCTTGTGAGGATGAAGAGTCCTGCTGAGCTTGGGGGCCCAAATCATTGACAGGTTTAGTACAGGCACACACAGGTAGAATTTTATCCCATGTCTGATGGAAATCCTTCACCATCATCAAGGCCAGCCCTAAGCCAGCTACAGCTCTCTCCTGCCACACGGGTACACATTTTACAGGCAGTAAAAATGCTCAGCTCAGTTCCCCCAGGAAAAATAACCATCACCTCTATTTTATACAACATGAGAGAAGAGGAGGAGGGAGGGAAAACCATGATTTTCCAAAGCATTTGTGTGGGGGAGCTCAGCTCAGCTTTTCATCATTCCAAAGCCATTCCCTGCTGGCACAACACACAGCACTAACTGGAAACTCAGACTGCACAGCCCTACCAGTTTTGTGGGGTGTTATTCTCCAGAATTTGGGCTTGTTCACAGGAAATGTAACTGCTGGCTTTTGGGTTACTTCAGGTACAAAATCCAGCACCTTTCCAGCTTTCTACTTCCCCGTGGAGAACATTGAGAGCTTTGTGGAGGTCCATCCCCTCCGTGCTGTGTCTCTGCAAGCCTTCACCCTGTGCTTCTGGAGCAGAGCCCAGCCCGTGGGCAGCCAGACCGTCCTGTCCTACTCCACTGGGGAGAGGGACCGTGAGCTGGCGGTGACCGTGGGCTCAGAGCTGGGGCTGTGGGTGGGAGGCCACTTCCTCAGCTTCCCCCTGCAGCAGGAGGCGCAGGGCTGGCTGCACCACTGCGTGACCTGGGCCTCCCCGGAGGGACGCGCCAGCCTCTGGCTCAACGGAGCGGCTGGCCAGGCCCAGAGCGTCCAGAAGGGCTACGTGAGCCGGGCCGGGGGCACGCTGCTCCTCGGCAAGGCCAGGGACGCTCTGCTTGGCACCTTCTCCAACGGGTTTGGGGGGTGGCTGAGCCGGGTGAACCTGTGGAGCCGGGTGCTCAGCGCCGCGGAGCTGCGGGCGCTGGCGCTGTGCAGGGCAGGGCAGCCCACGGGGGACGTCATCGCCTGGGGACAAACCCCCATGGCCCTCCTCGGGGGGGTGCTTCTGCAGCCCGACACCAGCTGCCAGTGAGCACAGCCTCTGCTCCCCTGACAGCATCCAGGGAGTCCTGCTTGCTGGGAAAGCTGGGAAAAACTGGGGCTGCTTGCTTGTTTCTCCTCCTGCTTCGTACAGGCTCGCCATGCACCTCCTGGTGCTCCAGGGTGTTTTTCCAAGAGACCAAAACCTCCATCTGTGAGATAGAACTGCAGAATCTGGCACAATCCAGCACCCTGGGTTGTTACATCCCTCCCAGGGGGTTGATTTAGATCCCCATACACAGATTTTGTTTCATGCCAAAGAGGTGCTCTCTGGTCATAGGAGCTGCTTTCTCAAATAAAATTTCTCTCCTCTCCCTCACCCAGTCTCAGTTTCTCACCATCTTCCCTGCTTGTCTCTCCTGTTTGTCACCACCAACTCACCACCCCTTCCCTCGTAGTGGTATCCCATAGGAGAGGGGATGTGGAGCTCTGGCGGGGCAGGTCCTGTGCAATCCCTGTGCCTTGGCCTGTGGCACAACTTTGCCTTCTTTTCTGTAGTGGATGTAGATACAGGGCATAGAAACAGCTCCTTGTTCAACACATATATCACAAACTTGGGCGCAGGTGTGTTGTATATATAAACTGATTTTCTAAGGTTAAAGTAAATCATCTGAAGGATTCTCCATCTACTACACAAAATCCATGCCAAGCTGCTCAACAATTCTGCTTTTTTCAAAACAGAAGGCAGCACACTGCTATACCAAATTGAATTTAATTTCCCCTTGCTGGACCCTCAAAGCACAAGTGGCAGTTCCTCAGAGGAGTTTAGTGCACCCCTGGCACACGAGTGCCCCACACCCAGGCCGAGGGTGGCTTGTGTCCCCCGGGATGTGTCGCCAGGACACCAGGGACACACATCAGCTCGTGCTGTCGGCTGCTTGGTCACAGAACTGGGCTGGCTGAGGACATTTCCTTTTCCTTGGAACAAGAGGAGGACGTGGCAGCATTAGGTTTGCAGTTGGATTTCATCTTAAATGTCTTTTCCAGCCTTAAGAGTTCCGTGATTGTCAGATCAGCATCAGAGGAGGAATCCCTGTATTTGTTTTCCTGCTGAACAGATCCTGTCAGGCCAAACACAGCTGGGTCACATCTCACTGCTGGAGAGCGATTTCTTCTCTTCCTGCCTGCTCAGGGGGTAGGAATCTTTAAGCTCTTTGCTTTCCTGAACCTCCACTTTGTTCCTCTTGGCCATGATCCTGTTGATTTCCATGAAGGTTTTATTCTTGGTCTCAGGAACAATGAAGAAGATGTAGAGCGTGGTGGCGATGCAGATGGCACAGAAGATGAGGAAGCTGTAGGGCCCCAGCCCAGCCTAGGGCAGTGCCAGGAGAGAGCAGGGGTCAGGGCAACACTCCAGCTGGGAGTTTCCTGCCCTGGCCCCGCTGCACCCTGCACTGGCTGCAGGAAATGCAGCCACCGTGAGGTGCTCATGATTTAACCTGAACGGCTCAAAGCTGGGGTGGTTTTAGATTCTGCCTTCTCAAACCACCACCACGGGTTTGTTGGAAACCTACTGGGAAAGGAGGGTGAGGGTCTGCTCTGTAACTCAAACAAAACTCAGGTTAAAGTCAAGGAGTGCTGCAGTTTATGGGTCACTGCTGCTGGGGTCAGTTTAACCGGGCACCCAGATTTCAGAACCAAAAACTGTCCCCCCAAGGCACATCCTGCAGCAAAAGATGGGGAATTTGCCATCTTCTCCAAGTTGCTGAGCTCAGGAAGAGACCTGGCAATCAAACTGCTTTCTTTTAAAGCCTGTGCAACAGCCAGGTATGATGAGAAAACCAACAACATCAGCCTCTTGGCCTGGATGCAATCCCTCACGCAGGTTTGGGGAACCAACAAGTGCATTTGCACTCCTCCAAGCTCTCTGTAAGAACACAGGGGTGAAGAGGCCGACGTGCAGCCCAGGTTGTGCCCTGTGCTGGGTTCTTACCTCCATGTAGAGGAACACCAGCCCCACAGTGAAGTTGCTCAGCCAGTGCACAGAGCCCCCCACCATGAACGCCGCGGGTCGGGACGACTGCAGGAACATCTCCGTGATCATCACAGCAGGAATGGGACCTGCAAGGCAGCTGCAGGTGAGAAACCCCAAAGGGAAATCCCTCACTCTGAATTCCTGATTAAACTGCTCATTTCAGTGGCATACAGCGGTTTCAGCTGTCAGTAAATCAAACAAGGATTAAATTTAAAGGAAAAAATGAGACAATTAAATAACTTGCACAGGGCATGGCCACACAGAGGTGAAATTCAGCCCGCCTGGATGAGCTCCAGGAAGGTTTTGGTTGGAAACTGAGGACAGCACCTGGCTTTACCCAGCTTGTGGGGGGACTGGGTGGCTGTGGGCACTTACTTGGTCCGAGGGCATGTCCAATGATGTAGGCAATGACACAGAGGATGCTGAGGTAGGACATCCAGGAGACAGTGCTCTGCAAGGACCGAATCACAGGTTAGGGGTGCTGCCTGTCTGAGCACCACCAGCACACTCCAGGCACGGCTCACAGTAAGAGCTGGAGGCATTCTAAGGCAGTGTGACCCTTCAGTGCCATAACTGGCCACAGAAAGCACAGCCTGGGCATGGTCCTTGCTGCCCAAGGGATGCAGCAGGAGCTGGGACCGTGACATCCTGTGAGGAGCATGCAGCCAAGCAGGATCACAGCCTTTCTGTAAGGCAGCACCTACACAGACTTTCCTGCTGTCCCCTCCTCCCCAGGGTGTGGAAGCATCCTCAGAATATTCCAATGGCCTGTTCCCTGGAAAGCCCAGAAATCGTGGGAGGGACCAGCCGAGCCATTCATACCTACCTGGAGATTGAGGGCCAGAGTTAAGAGTGCACAGGAGGCAGAGCACAGCACAAAGCCAGCCAGGAGGAGGATCCTCCTCCCCAGGGATTCCACAATGAAAACCTGGAAGAGGCAGGAGAGGGGGAGACACCAGAGGCTCAGCAGTTGTTGCAGATGTTTTTGTCCAAGGGACACCACAGGGAAAACATTTCCCAGCGTGTGCCAACAACGCTCTAGTGGAAGGATTTTGGGATGAGATGATCTTTAAGGTCCCTTCCAACCCAAACCATTCTGTGACTGTAGGATTCCATGAGCACAACCTAATTTAAACAGGGGAGGGGAGAGCGGGCGAGTGAGAGCTCAGAGAGCCCCAGCACAGACTCACAGCCAGCAGAGTCATGACGACGTTGATGGCCCCTATGGACACGGTGACATACTGGATGCTGCTGCTGTGCACCCCTGCTGACTCGAAGATTCTGTCTGCATAGTAGAAGACCTGCAGCAGAACCACAGCTGAGTTAATACATGGGCAGAGCATGGGCATCCCCCTTTTGGCAATCCTGGTGCTGGCACACAGAAGCCCAAGGATGGGATTTGTCCCTTCCTGGAGACACTGTTTGGATCTGGGCACAAGCACTTTGCTCTAAAAACACTCCAGTGATCATTAACAGGGCAGCTGAGCCTGCACCTTGTCCGTGGCTTTGGTACTGGCCAGGGCTGACCCAGCCCCGTGTGACTCAGCCTGGGTGAAGGGGCACTCCCAGGAGTGTGCCCTGTGCCAGCACTGCCCCCGTCACCCCTCTGAAGTTCAGCCCTCCTTTGTGTGCCCTGTGCCAACACTGCCCCGTCACCCCCCTGAAGTTCAGCCCTCCTTTGTGTGCCCTGTGCCAACACTGCCCCCTCACCCCTCTGAAGTTCAGCCCTCCTTTGTGTGCCCTGTGCCAACACTGCCCCCTCACCCCTCTGAAGTTCAGCCCTCCTTTGTCCCCCAGCCCTCCCCACTCACCCCATTGACCCCCGAGAGCTGCTGGCCTGCCATCATGACGATGATGGAGATGAGCTGCCACCTCAGGCCCCTGAAGGTGAACAGGCTGAGCACAGAGAACTGCCCTTCCTCCTTCTCAGACCGGTTCTCCTGGTACATCTCTTGGATCTCCTCCTCCACGTCCTGCCAGCCCCTCAGCCTCTGCAGAGCTGGTGGGAGAGCACGGGTGTGGGAATCCAGGGAACCCCCCTGGACAGAGCCCCCAGAGACACTGGCTGTGATCTCTGTCCATGGAAAAGAGTTTTCAATCCTACAGGATGAATTACCAGCTCTGAGTGTTTGATATAAGTAATAATTAAGTGTGGCACGGGTGCAAAAGTAAAATTTTAGGTTTCTAGATGAGGGGTCCAAAGGGGACAAGATGGAGGAAATTGGGTGTGCCTTGTCCTTTTTCTCCTTCTTCATGCCCTCCATGTTTCACTGTAGTGTTGGCATTTTTCTGTTGGTTCAGGCTGGGGACACACTGTCCAACGTAGGTGACAGATATTGGCACGTTATTGTAAATCCAGCACAGGTAGTTTGTGGTATTTAATGTTTGTACCATCCCACTGAGGGCAGAGCCCCACACGCTGCCCTGCAGGACAGAGCTGCGGCAGGGCAGCAGAACATGTTAGAGATAAACAGAATAAACAACCTTGAAACAGCACAGACCAATTATGGCTTCTGCTTTGGCAGTGGGGCAGAAAGAGACTTTCTACAATCTTGGGATCATCAATAGCTCAGATTCTGACACACGGGGAGCTGTGAGCCCCAGGTTTGCAGGGCTGTGAGCCCCAGGTTTGCAGGGCTGTAGCCCCAGGTTTGTGGGGAGCTGTGAGCCCCAGGTTTACAGGGCTGTGAGCCCCAGGTTTGCAGGGCTGTGAGCCCCAGGTTTGCAGGGCTGTAGCCCCAGGTTTGCAGGGCTGTAGCCCCAGGTTTGCAGGGCTGTAGCCCCAGGTTTGCAGAGCTGTGAGCCCCAGGTTTGCAGGGCTGTAGCCCCAGGTTTGCAGGGCTGTGAACCCCAGGTGTGCAGAGCTGTCCTGCCTCAGCCAGGACAGGGCAGCGTGTGGCCCTGGGCAGCCGTGGCTCCGTGCTGGGCACGGGGGATCCACACACCCCGGGAAAGGAGCAGTGTCCTGGGAGTTCCACCCACCAGCAGCACAGCACGTCCGTGGAGAATTTCCCAGCCTCGTGCTGTGTCCCACAGCAGATCCATCCCACCCCACCTGCCCTCCCTGGGAGGATGGCACTGTACCTCTCCGTGCCTGCTCTTCATCTCCTTTTTGGATGAGCAGGTATCTGGGGCTCTCGGGGAAAAGGGGCAGTGTCAGGAGCTGGATCAGGGACGGGATCCCAGTGAGCCCCAGCAGCACAGGCCACCCTGCAGCAAGGTCACAGCGTGTCAGCTGAGAGAAATCCTCCCCTGTGCAGCCCACAGAGAGATCCTGAGCCACAGCCTCACCTTTGGCATTCCCAAGGATGCTGTTGAGACCAAGGATCTGAGCTGCAAGGATG